GGAGTACACAGTTCTTGACATTTCTATGCAAAACTAGCTTCAGCATATTCCCTCTTATATAACAATATTGGAGTACACTGTTCTTGACATTTCTATGCAAAACTAGCTCCAACATATTCCATCTTATATAACAAATTTGGAGTACACAGTAATTGACATTTCTATGCAAACTAGCATCAGCATATTCCCTCTTATATAACAAATTTGGAGTACACAGTTCTTGATATTTCTAAGCAAAACTAGCTCCAGCATATTCCATGTTATATAACAAATTTGGAGTACACAGTTCTTGACATTTCTATGCAAAACTAGCTCCAGCATATTCCATGTTATATAACAAATTTGGAGTACACAGTTCTAGACATTTCTATGCAAAACTGTCTCCAGCATATTCCATCTTATATAACAAATTTGGAGTACACAGTAAAGTTCTTGACATTTCTATGCAAAACTTACTCCAGCATATTCCCTCTTATATAACAAATTAGGAGTACACAGTTCTTGACATTTCTATGCAAAACTAGCTCCAGAATATTCCATCTTATATAACAAATTTGGAGTACACAGTAAAGTTCTTGACATTTCTATGCAAAACTTACTCCAGCATATTCCCTCTTATGTAACAAATTTGGAGTATACAGTTCTTGACATTGCTAGGCAAAACTTACTCCAGAATATTCCTCTAATATAAAGCCATTTTTGTGCAAATAAAATCTCTATAATACGCCCAAAACAGCAAAACTGAAAATGTTGCAGGCTTGGTTTGAATGAGTCTGTTCAAGGATATGATACTGTAAAATGCAATTTACTGTTTTTCCACCCAAAGCATGTTAAAGATATACTATACTCATCTCAGAGTAAAATATTTTTATCCCAGAAATTATTTGAAATCTATGTATTTCTTTCTTAATATGTCTTATTTGAATAAAAGAATGTACAATGTACACAATGTACTGTGTTTGGGAAGCTGCATATAAGTAAAGTTGACTCTTTCTTAATTTTTTTTTTTTTTTTTTTTTTTTTTTTTGACACTTGACATTCTTATTGTGCCTCTAAATTGTGTAGAGTTTAAGACATAAGATATCTTCTTAGTGTGTAGTCAAAACATGTTTATTTCATATTTAAAAAGAGACTGTGTAGCAATTATCAATATTTAAAAATACAATGAATTTGAGCATATTATATCTTTAAATCAAATAATTTTTATTTTAACTTATCATACAGTTACCCAACTAAACATAGAATTATATTTTGTGAGCAAGAGCTGATATTTTCTTATATCAAGTAAGATTTAAAACAGTAAGATACTGCAGATCTTTTTAACCAATAGAATAAGAGTCTTATAAATTATAAGCTGTGATATGTGCATTTCGTTGGCCTAAGAAACATGACTTTGGTATGTTCGTGGCTCAAGAAATTAAATTGTTAAATAATATAATATTAATTTCATGTCTTGATAACTTCAAATTAAAGCAATATTGTCTTTGTTGTTGTAGAAGTAGTTGTAGCATAAAACTTGGAAGGTCAATCATCTGTGTTGCAGATGGCCAAGGCTTCATACTGTTATCCATCATTCCATGATGACGAAACAGATTTTCCTAATTTGTTGCAGAGTTAATATTGGACCTACTGTCCGCAAACTTTGGACATTCCAAATTTTGTTGCAGAGTTATGTTGGACCTACTGTCCGCAAACTCTGGGGTCGTCGCAGTACGCCTCAGTACCTACTGTACTGGTTATATAGCGACTGTTGGGCTTCTTGAAAAGTGGAGTTCCCTACTGGAACTGAACACTTTACCCATTCTTGTAGCAATCAATGTGGAAAATATAAATTGATAATCAAATCAAAAACAGAAGTCAATTGTTATATCCAGAATATTGTCACTTTAAATAAAATTATGAACAAATAAATCCGGTATTTAATCCATTTTACAAAAGTTATTTAGTAATTGTATTAATCCATTTAACAAGAATAATTGAATAAATCTTAATTCTAGTAATAACACATAAACACATAAATTAAGAGAAATTAACTGCGGCCACTCTGATAGGATACTTTTAGCGTTCTGCTTGGTCATCTGATAAGATCATATGTTCATCTCATTAACCCTAGGTGGTCCAGTGCAGTAGAATTGGTTTTTGTGTGGTAGAACGGAAAAACAAATCATTCTTTTGATAACAATGCTAGTTGTTTGAACAAATGTTGTGATAATAATGTAATTTGCTTGATATTTTGTGACATTACGAAAAATAGAAAAAGATATGACAATTAACAATAACATATATTTATCATTACTTCGTTGAAACAGATGCCTAGTACACTGATTAGAGTAAATCGCATTGGTTAATGACTCTGCTGAAAAAGGAGAAGAGTTTATAACAGTAGACTTGCTATATAGTTTATTTCATACGGAAAAAATATTTCTTATTACAATATGTTTGCACATGTAAATTTGAATTTTTGATGATTTAAGTTTATTGATTTTATTGATGAGTTCTAAACTAAAGATAGAGGAGGATGTAGTAAGCAAGTCTACAATATATAATAAGCCACGCCTTTAATATCAAATATCGTTATTGTTACTGTGTATATGTTTACTTGATGTTTGGGAGTTTATGAGTGTATACTTGGATGCAACACATATAATAAAATATATAAACCATCCTTCGGGTCTTGTTTAGTTTGTGTGCTAGTAAGCCATCCAAATAGAAAATATAAATGTTACAATATTGTCTATTCCTTCTTATTACATTTGATCTGTGGGGGATTTTTTTTGCTTTATTTGTTATTTATTATTATTATTTAATGACCAATAAATGAAGAATGTTGAAAGTTTTTTTCTCAAATCGGGCCAAACATCAAGCATAAATTTTATTTTTCAATATAACTCTGAGTAAATTTCATTATTATCTTTTGCCTCTAAAACTTTAAGCGTTTTTATTGTTACAGTAACGGTTCAGCAAAATGTTACCGATGTTTTAATACAAATTTGTGTTTTTTCATAGAAAGTAAATGTAGTGAAATTTGAAATGATGTTTTTATGTTTCAAATGTATCCAATTCTGTAATGCATAATCATGACATTAACTTCTACAACATGCTTGAAATGATAAAACTGAAAGCCTCATACGTTTCCGGGTTTCTCTCATTTTACCACTTTGTTGCCATGGCAACAGAACCAATTAATGTTGTTGATAGAATGAAAATCTACCTTTTAAAAAATTAAAGACTTAAGAACATTTTAAAATGTAATCTTGTTGGTTATTCTTAGTCTTAATAATCATTATATATCAGTTCACTAGAAATTGGGACTCAATTTTCGTGTACCCCACCCACTTTAGGAATGTCAGAATCCACATTCTTACACAATAAAAATAAAAATAAGGGTACATTTAGTAAGTTGTTGATCAGGTCTTTGTATAATATGGTAAAAATATTAGTTTTCACCACTATGCCTCAACTGAGAGGAAAAAATGCCAGCACCATGTCGATTTTTGATACTTTTTCATGCTTTTTTAGCAAAATTTCTCTATGAAAACAAGAGTATATGTATAAGAAAAAGGAAAAGGACCCCTTTTCATATTGTTCCAATAGGATGTGAAGTTTTAATTAATTTTAGACTTTTAAGTTTTAGTTTTGTGTACATTCTTCTGTAGCTTGTTCTTAATGTGTACTAGAGTTTTTCTCCTCTGTATCCGATTTTCAATAGGTAAAACAATGGAGATTCTATACAACGTTTTAGGGATTCTGTTTTTCTCTATTTTAATGTGTTTAAATGGAGTAATAAGACAAGATACCATTTGATGAACAGTCCGGAGTTTGTTGATGATCATTTAAGACATACTGACCGTATAACAAAGCATTAGGTGGTCTGACCTGTAAGTCACAAAATAATTTATAAAGAATTTTGAGGCAACGGTGGAATATGGCCTATTTGTTTTGCGTAACAAGACATCTATATAGGATTTATAATTTATGCTGCTCTATATTTTTTAAATCAGAAGAAAGTGTCAAATATTTAACACAAAATGGTGATTTTATCCATGTTTCTCCAACTGTTACAATATTTCAGCTGGGCTTGTATTGCATTGAGATGAGAACACAATCATTTAGGTTTTCCAGATGCATCTATGGCACATTATCTTGAAGACGTTCATCATCACAACATATTGACATATTGTCTATTCCTTCTTATCACATTTGATCTGTGGGGGATTTTTTTGCTTTATTTGTTATTTATTATTATTATTTAATGACCAATAAATGAAGAATGTTGAAAGTTTTTTTCTCAAATCGGGCCAAACATCAAGCATAAATTTTATTTTTCAATATAACTCTGAGTAGATTTCATTATTATCTTTTGCCTCTAAAACTTTAAGCGTTTTTATTGTTACAGTAACGGATCAGCAAAATGTTACCGATGTTTTAATTCAAATTTGTGTTTTTTCATAGAAAGTAAATGTAGTGAAATTTGAAATGATTTATTTTTTATGTTTCAAATGTATCCAAGTCTGTAATTCATAATCATGACATTAACTTCTACAACATGCTTGAAATGATAAAACTGAAAGCCTCATACGTTTCCGGGTTTCTCTCATTTTACCACTTTGTTGCCATGGCAACAGAACGTGGTCAATTAATGTTGTTGATAGAATGAAAATCTACCTTTTAAAAAATTAAAGACTTAAGAACATTTTAAAATGTAATCTTGTTAGTTATTCTTAGTCTTAATAATCGTTATATATCAGTTCACTAGAAATTGGGACTCAATTTTCGTGTACCCCACCCACTTAAGGAATGTCAGAATCCACATTCTTACACAATAAAAATAAAAATAAGGGTACATTTAGTAAGTAGTTGATCAGGTCTTTGTATAATATGGTAAAAATATTAGTTTTTCACCACTATGCCTCAACTGAGAGGAAAAAAATGCCAGCACCATGTCGATTTTGATACTTTTTCATGCTTTTTTAGCAAAAATTCTCTATGAAAACAACTAAGGATTTTAAAAAATCGAAGTTAAACAGGTAATTTTAGTTATTTATAGTTATATCCCTTGCTTCAGATATTTTTTTTAATTGATTTCATTTTTTTTATAAATTGATTCATGTCGAAAATGTACAAAGTTGGTTTTTGTCAATTTCATTTAGCCTATGTAGAATTTTGAAACCCAAAATTTGGCGAAAAAAATTAAAATTATTTGATATCGCAGAATTCTAGTTTATTTTTTAAAGAACAAATTTTCCTTTAAGGTTTTTTAAAATCGAACACCCCATATTAAATTTCGTTTTTTTTTTGTTTTTTCCAAAAGATTCTTTTTTTTTTTAAAAAAACCCGCTAATTTTTGATTTTTCTGGTTTTTCCCCATTTTAATTTTTTAAATTTTATCGCATAAACCGTTTTTTCTAAAATTTAAACTGACGACACCTATAGGTTAAATTCCGTCATTTTTTAAAAACAATTTTGGGAGCTTTCACAAATTTTAAAAGCATGCGTTTTTAATTTTTAAACCCCTGGGAAAACCAAAAAAAAGAAAAATGATGCGGAGAGATATTTGCTATATCTCGCCCCTACAAATTCTTTAAAGACCCGCGCAATCTGAGCTATTTCGTACGTCAAACTTCACTTTTTTAGGCCGCTTTTTTAGATATTTTTTTGGTTCGGAAATTTTAATTTGCTGTAAAATAGTTCAAAGAATGCATTAATATAGATCTATAATTAACATAATTATTCAAACAGATAAATGCACGATATGAAAAATAAATCTTATTTTCGTAGCCGAGATCTAATTTATTAATTGTGCTTTTATGTTTGATATTTATATCTTCTGTATTTGGAAAATTCAAATTATACAATTATTTTTGCTTTTCACCGTTGTTTTTTTTTTCAATTTTATTTTTATTTATTTATTCATTTATTGCACTACGATCATTATTTATTCGATCCATGTGCTTAATTAAGAAAAAATGATTTAATTATTCATCTTTCATACAAATTAAACAACAAATCATAGGCGTGAAAATCAACGACGTTATAACCTATAACATGCAACTTTGACACTATATTATACAACGCTTTGTTTGTATTCATTTTTTTTACAAAATTAATGGCGGAGCATCTTTATTAAAGTGAACACACGAGGACAAATGCGGAGACTTGATTAAAATTCTCGTTTAAAGATACAAAATAACATATGCATTTTCGACTTCCATATAATTTTGAAAAGTGCCGTACGGCTAGACAATACAGTGCGTCTTGGCTAGTCGTACGTGACTCACGTACGGCTAGAACTTTTGGGCTAGCCACTTCCTTCGCGAAAATAGCTTATTTTCGGCGGTCGGTCTATTTACCCCAAGACACCCCAAGACTACCCTAGACGACCAAAGGCACCCCTAGACGACCCCAAGACTACGTCAAGACACCCCAAGACAACATCAAGTCACCCCAAGACCACCGCAAGACACTTAAATTACTGACATGTAAATACGTCTTTAATTTACATTTTTTACTGGAGTAAACTATGCGATTTCACATTTACACATTGAATATCTCTTCATTTATTTCCATATATTTTTTAATGTAAGATTATAAATGTATTCTTTTTTGTGATAAATAGTTTACAACAAGGAAATAATGGCAATGTTGCGGGATTTGGGTGTAGTGCAAGTTTAATTCTGCGACAATGTCATTTTATGAGTGACACATTTTTGATACCTGATTATTAAATTGATAATATTCTGTTTCACAATATTGATTATTTTATTTCATCTGCCCTACATTTCATTAGATTAACAGATTAACTTAGTCTTGTTGTTTCACTAAAGTTAATTTTAATCAAAATATTTTTTTTATATTAATAAAGAGCATATCAATAAATATTTTAGTGACGAAAGAAGTCCATACATAATTAACAATATTTGATATATTAGACAGTAATTAATAATAAGATGAGATGTAATTAAATAATCAGTTGTCGTGTATAATAACACTTTCCCGATATACACAATATATAAGTTTCTTGGAGTGTCTTAGGGTAGTCATGGGAATAAAAATATGTATCTTTCTGTCCAGAGTAGTCTTGGGGTGTCTTGGGGTATCTTGGGGTGTCTTGGGAGACTGACCCTATTTTCGGTATCCATCTAGCTGGAAAAAAAGTGAAGCCCCATTCTAGCTATTACGAGAACAAGATTAAGTTAATAAGTTCTTTCATTCATTTATTGAAATGCTATTAAATTCTGGTATAACACACGAAAAGACAAGACTTATCTTAACTAAAAGTGGGGCCGATTTGGTAAGAGGCCGAAACGTCTTTGATTTGGGACCGAAATGTCTGGGGGCCGAAATAACTTGAAATCCAGATAACTACATCCGCTTTCGTTTTCAAATTCTTTTAGAATAAACATCTTTTCATTGGTAAGTAGAAAAAAATATCCTGGATTTGACCCCTTTACAGTATATATATATTTATTTGAGGAGTAAAACTTGTAGGATGGTCCCTATACTGGCGACTCATATTTACGTGGTACCCAAAGGGACCAGGCACAGTGTTGGGATAGTGTAAAAAAGTAATTCTAGAAAAAAAATTATACTTTATATATAATATATATTATATATACAATATATATTTTTTTTAAAATTACTTTTTTACACTATCTCAACACTGTGCTGGGTCCCTGTGGTGGTACCCATATTTCCAAGGTACAGTATTGGGCAGGTTTAGGATTTCATGATATGTACAGTATGGACTGTCAGTAAATTTATGGATAGTCTATAAATTTAAAGATTTTTCAGTCCATAAATTTACAGATCCTCAATGTTAAATTTGCTATTAGATAGAAAAATCTGTAAAATTATAGATGGTCCATAAATTTACAGACTGTTAAACAGTCCAAAGTGCCTCCTAGACTTCATGAACCTGGCAGCAGTTTTACTTTTATTATTTGATTGTATTTTTATAGAAATATTACATATACGACTGGAATAAAAAATCTTTTTAGTCAGAATTTATACTGGTGCCTCATATTTCTGTGGTACCCATACAGGGCTCACACTGGCTCAAATAAAATAATAGCCAATAATTTCAACTTAAAAAAATAATAGCCAAAAGTTCAGCGGACTATTTACGAATTAGCGATTAACAACATAAGCAGTTGATTAAATAAACATTACATTTATATCTTTCAGTCTTATAAGGATTCTCAAATAAACTGATACATTTGTGTATATTGATAACTACCTTTTTTTTTTTAATAGAACCACAACTTTAATTGTTATTATAGAACAGAATAAAAACGTTATAATTAGTATAATTACTGTATAACAATAATATTAAAGATTCATTATAACTTTACATAATGCTGTTATCAGACAACTTTTTTTGTTTGTTCTAATCAAATTTTGTCAGCTATAACCACTGTCAATTTCCACATTTCACACAGAACTGGAGTAGATCATATTAGCCTATAGAAATAACACAAGTTTGTAAACTCATTCACAGAATGCAGCCTTTTTTCTGAATAATTTACTGAAAAATATCATCATCACCAATGAAATACAAATTTTCTGCCATAGTAGTAATGATTTTTAAACAGAACAAAGCTTATTTCACCTTTAAATAAATATCAAAATTACCGGTGTCGCGAAAATATGTGACAATCGGATTTTTCCTGTTTTCTGAAGAAATATTCACAATTTTGGTTGTTGTGCAAATAGTAGTGTGGAAGTTAATACTTTTTACCCTTGTTTTCCACTTGCGATTTAGTCAAGTAGCTTAAAACAAAAAAAATCAAAATTTGCAATTACTGCAATTCACGGTAAATTTTGGGTAAGTCAATATCCAGTTTATCAATTTTAATACGATTTTTGTGGCTTATTGACGGATATTTGATGGCTATTATAAATGCTGGACAATATCTTTAAAGTACTTATACAATTATACATCTCGCATGCATTTTATCACCTCGGGCAATATAGTTAGCAGCACGTGACCGGTTAAAAGTTGACACTCCATTAAATGCACCCCGCTGGTGTTAATTGGGTCTACTGCATTCATTATCGATTTTTACACCTTATATAAACACTGTTGGAAGTAAAAAATAATCGCCAGATTTTGTAGCCAAAATGCAAAAATAATCGCCAATCTTATAAAATAATCGCAAATGGCGACTATGGCGACCGACAGCGTGAGCCCTGCCCATATTTCCAAGGTATATGGCTTAAACAGTCTAAAGTGCCTCCTAGACTTAATAAACCTGCCAGTAGTTTTACTTTTACTATTTTATTGTTTTTATCGAAATGTTATATAATTATAGAACTAAAACAAATTATTTTATTCATATTAAGAGCAAAGTTATTTAATATTTCACAATTTTTCTTTTAGATTTCATACCTTTTAAGAAAATCTTCTTTGTTAAAGAACCATTGAGGTAGTACATTGTGCATTTATTGCTACCCCAAATTATATCCCGAAATAAACAAAATATTGCGCATGCACAGAGCAAATTACATGCCCCAAAGGGATATAAGGCTGTTTTTAAAACACAGATAAGATATCCTCACGAAATTTTAATGATGTATCAACTTGGAAGGAAGTTTATTTTCTCAAACAATCAAACCAAGCATCTTCATGACATATAATACCGATCGTCATCGATAAAGCCAAAATTAAGCCGTTATAATACTTGTCCGGAAACTGGTATTGTCCGGAAACTGGTTCCTGCCCAGTATAATTTTTTGTAACAGAATATGCTGTCAGTACAGTTTCAGCAGACAACCTTCACTTGTCAGAACATGAAATTATAAGTTTAACCGTTAAATATGGGGTAAAATAAAGAAGTTTTTTCAGCACACACAGGCAGCTTTGGGTTTTCCTATTAATGACAGAATTTATTTGAAATGAAAAATTTTCTAACAACACAAAAAGCAGCACTTCCACTTTCACTTTAATGGTGGAAACAGTATTTGATGGCATTCAATGTGTAAAGAAACAAATTTCTTATTACATCGGAATGGGCAAGGACGCGGTACC